GGTATTGCAGCATCTGATCAGCTGAACACATAGGCCGGTACAATCGTCCCCCTGCAGGTCCGCCAGAGAGAACAATCGCCGGTCAGGAGCTCGGCCACCTTCATATATAAGGCACTTCACCGCCTCCGCCCTCCCGCAGGCGTCATCCCCTTCCTGGTGCGGAGGTGACGGACAGGCAGGGGGGCGGAGTCACACATTTCCTCCCTCAGTACCGGGAGGGCATCTTGTTCTCTTGCTCAGCGGGTCCCTCCGCGTGATCGATGGTCTGGTACGCGCTCCGGTCTCGTGAACCGCTCAGGAACCCCGAGGACACTGGACAGAGGCAACGAGAAGAAACATTCCATCAGCGGATCTCATATCAGAGCTGCACTACAGAGGCTGCGCCCGACATAGCCAGCGCCAACACCGCCGCCTCGGGACACTCGCTGCCTGACTTCAGTCCCGTTCAAAAGATGAGTCTGCTTATATGTTACCTTCTCTGGTACCTCTCTGACAGATAGAAGACTGAAGGGGAAGACGGAGGTCAGATAGAAGACTGAAGGGGAGGACGGAGGTCAGATAGAAGACTGAAGGGAGGGACGGAGGTCAGATAGAAGACTGAAGGGGAGGACGGAGGTCAGATAGAAGACTGAAGGGGAGGACAGAGGTCAGAGAGAAGACTGAAGGGAAGGACGGAGGTCAGAGAGAAGACTGAAGGGAAGGACAGAGGTCAGAGAGAAGATTGAAGGGGAGGATGGAAATCAGATAGAAGACTGAAGGGGAAGGACGGAGGTCAGATAGAAGACTGAAGGGAAGGACGGAGGTCAGAGAGAAGACTGAAGGGGAGGACAGAGGTCAGAGAGAAGACTGAAGGGAAGGACGGAGGTCAGAGAGAAGACTGAAGGGAAGGACAGAGGTCAGAGAGAAGATTGAAGGGGAGGATGGAAATCAGATAGAAGACTGAAGGGGAAGGACGGAGGTCAGATAGAAGACTGAGGGGAAGGACGGAGGTCAGATAGAAGACTGAAGAGGAGGACGGAGGTCAGATAGAAGACTGAAGGGAAGGACGGAGGTCAGAGAGAAGACTGAAGGGAAGGACAGAGGTCAGAGAGAAGATTGAAGGGGAGGATGGAAATCAGATAGAAGACTGAAGGGGAAGGACGGAGGTCAGATAGAAGACTGAGGGGAAGGACGGAGGTCAGATAGAAGACTGAAGAGGAGGACGGAGGTCAGATAGAAGACTGAAGGGAAGGACGGAGGTCAGAGAGAAGACTGAAGGGAAGGACAGAGGTCAGAGAGAAGATTGAAGGGGAGGATGGAAATCAGATAGAAGACTGAAGGGGAAGGACGGAGGTCAGATAGAAGACTGAGGGGAAGGACGGAGGTCAGATAGAAGACTGAAGAGGAGGACGGAGGTCAGATAGAAGACTGAAGGGAAGGACGGAGGTCAGAGAGAAGACTGAAGGGAAGGACAGAGGTCAGAGAGAAGATTGAAGGGGAGGATGGAAATCAGATAGAAGACTGAAGGGGAAGGACGGAGGTCAGATAGAAGACTGAGGGGAAGGACGGAGGTCAGATAGAAGACTGAAGAGGAGGACGGAGGTCAGATAGAAGACTGAAGGGAAGGACGGAGGTCAGAGAGAAGACTGAAGGGAAGGACAGAGGTCAGAGAGAAGATTGAAGGGGAGGATGGAAATCAGATAGAAGACTGAAGGGGAAGGACGGAGGTCAGATAGAAGACTGAAGGGAAGGACGGAGGTCAGATAGAAGCCTGAAGGGGAGGATGAAGGTCAGATTGAAGACTGAAGGGGAGGACGGAGGTCAGATATACCGCTGCTAGGTCTATGTGTAATTCCAGCGGCGGATCGGAGGACGGGGATTGCGCAATGCTGTTCTCTGCTGTACCGGCGACATGAATATTTCACTGCGCAGTAAACAGAGGTCAGTCAGCCTTGTAGGAGGTGATGACTGACTGACAGAGAGCCGGATCAGAGGACCGATCACTACAATCAGCGGATATCAAAGAGCGCAACCCAACCCCCCAACAATGACAACGGGGAGACGAGGACACAAGACAATGAAGAGCCGAGATTATCAGAGAGAAGAGGAGAGTTATAGAGGAAGGAGCAGAGACCTCCAGCAGAGCAGAGTATTTCAGGAGAGGGGAGTTATAGAGGAAGGAGCAGAGTCCTCCAGCAGAGTATTTCAGGGGAGGAGAGTTATAGAGGAAGGAGCAGAGTCCTCCAGCAGAGCAGAGTATATCAGGAGAGGAGAGTTATAGAGGAAGGAGCAGAGTCCTCCAGCAGAGTATATCAGGAGAGGAGAGTTATAGAGGAAGGAGCAGAGTCCTCCAGCAGAGTATTTCAGGAGAGGAGAGTCGGAGGAAGGAGCAGAGTCCTCCATACAAGCTCGTACCTGTGAAGAGATTGCACTCCCCCCCGCGCTCCACATACATGTGATATGTGAAGAAACACGACAAGGGCTTCAACAAGAGGCTCAGGATGGCCATTCCTCCGCTGAATCGGAAGAGGTCTCTGCCCGGGGTCTTCTCTGCTGCTTGCTCGGCGGCGGCGTAGATCAGGGCGAGGAGCAGAATGTCTAATATCACCGTGGTGATCAGACCGGCCAGAAACTGCAAATAAACATTCACCCGATCAGTGCGAATCCCCCAACGTGTCCCTCCTCAGAACA